AGCTTACTTTCTGATGAAATCCTCAACAGAGAAGCACTGAAGGCTGCGGCAAACACAACATACACACACAACATACACACACAACATACATACATACACACACAACATACATACATACACACACAACATACACACACAACATACACACATAACATACACACACAACATACACACACAACATACACACACAACATACACACACAACATACACACACAACATACATACATACATACACACACAACATACATACATACACACACAACATACACACACAACATACACACACAACATACACACACAACATACACACACAACATACACACACAACATACACACACAACATACACACACAACATACATACATACACACACAACATACATACATACACACACAACATACACACACAACATACACACAACATACACACACAACATACACACACAACATACACACACAACATACACACACAACATACATACATACACACACAACATACATACATACACACACAACATACACACACAACATACACACACAACATACACACATAACATACACACACAACATACATACATACACACACAACATACATACACACACACACAACATACACACATAACATACACACACAACATACACACACAACATACACACACAACATACACACACAACATACACACACAACATACACACACAACATACATACATACACACACAACATACATACATACACACACAACATACACACACAACATACACACACAACATACACACATAACATACACACACAACATACATACATACACACACAACATACATACACACACACACAACATACACACATAACATACACACACAACATACACACACAACATACACACACAACATACACACACAACATACACACATAACATACACACACAACATACACACACAACATACACACACAACATACACACACAACATACATACATACACACACAACATACATACATACACACACAACATACACACACAACATACACACAACATACACACACAACATACACACACAACATACACACACAACATACATACATACACACACAACATACATACATACACACACACACAACATACACACACAACATACACACACAACATACACACATAACATACACACACAACATACATACATACACACACAACATACACACACAACATACACACACAACATACACACATAACATACACACACAACATACATACATACACACACAACATACACACATAACATACACACACAACATACATACATACACACACAACATACATACACACACACACAACATACACACATAACACACACACAACATACACACATTCATGCATAACATACACACACAACACACACATAACAGTCAAGCATAACATACACACACAACATTCACACATAACATACACATATAGCTGTCTCTCTCTCTCTCTCTCTCTCTCTCTCTCTCTCTCTCTCTCTCTCTCTGTGAGGACACGTGAAGTTTGAAGTCTTCAACCCGACTGTCACCATTGTGTAAAACTCTGTGTGGATCTCTGACCTGAATACGGTTCTGAGAATCCAGAACTCATCAGGATGGAGGATCCTGTGTAATTAATGAAGAACACTTTAAAACAGCCCGTCATTTAGCCAGGCCGCACTAATGAGCTCTAAATATAACCACATTAGACATTCTCCTCCACGCTGGCCGCTCATTTATTTAAAACTGCTCTGGGTTCAGAGGAAAAGTGCCTCCTCATCATAAGCCACACACACATCAGGCCGACGACTCGACTTTCCCTTCTAAAAGAGTTTAAAAGAGTATTGGTGACGAGGCCGGGGGACACGAGGGTTCCCTCCATCCAAAAGCTGTGCATTTTCCCCATAAAATTTCTGGACAAGATGTATGTATTTTTCCAATCTAATCAAGTCAAGAATAATTATAGATTTACATTTTTTTAAGGCTATGCATAATTAGTCATTGTTTGAAATGAAATGGTGTACTGGTATTATGGTATTATGTTCTGTTAATGAAGGGACACAATTTTTGCTCTTTGCTAAGGAGTATTGTATGGTGTTCTGTATGAATAGAAGTTTAAAGAGGGTTTTTCTGTATGTATGTTTTTTTTTCTTCTTCTTAATGTAGAATGATGTAATGAAATAATGTTTTATTTTTGATTGTAATAAAAACTGTTTTCAAATTTAAAATTCTCTGTCTCTAACTCTCTCTCTCTCTCTCTCTCTCTCTCTCAATTCAATTCAATTCAAAATTGCTTTATTGGCATGACTGTACATCATACAATATTGCCAAAGCTTGGAATACATAGACTAATTATAAAGACATCAACATAGTAAAATAATATAGCATTTTAAATTGATTGTACAAATTAACAGTGTAAAATAAATAAAATGGAACAGTTTATGAACATTTAAAAATTCTGTGAAGAATTTAGAAAAACAATGCGTATGAGTGTGTGGTGTACAGGGGTGTGTGTGTGTGTGTGTGTTGGCGCATCACTGATTGGTCGTCGTCTCTCTCTTTTTGTGACATGCATCAATGTATCTGGCTGCTAGTGTGATACAATCTTTTTTTTCACCTAATAGATGTTGTAATTGTGTTTTGTTATTTAATTGCATAAATTTAGGGTAAAGTATTTCAAATTTTGTGTAAAAAGTCCCTCTCTCTCTCTCTCTCTCTCTCTCTCTCTTCACCCATATTTTTCTTCTCTCTGCAACAAACCTTCATTTGTTTCTGTCCTTCTTCCTGCTGCAGCTGTTCTCTTCACTATTCCCCCCCTCTCTCTCTCTCACATGTAATATGGCAGTACAGGAACCATAAGGTGAGAAATCTCTCTCGTTATTTTCCAATCAGTTGCTACGACGACAGCAGTTTGATTGACAGATCTGAAGTTCATCTGACAAGTGACATGCTGAGCCACAAACAACAAAACACACACTAAAAAAAACACACAAAGTGAGCACTGAATCATCTATGCTCATATTAGAAAAGAACAAGAGAAAAAAAATCCTAATAAAATGTTGACATTAAATATTGATTTTTATGTGGGATGAGCTTCCCTGTTCCTGTAGATGGAGAGGATGGGGAATAAGTCTCGCTCCGCCTGCACAAACACACTCGAAAGCTTCAGTGTTTCCTCCAAACCCTCCCTGATGAAGCACACACTGCCTGTGACCCTGCCGACCCCTCTCACCCTAACCCTAACCCTTCATCTGGTGATCAGTGGAGCTCACAGTGACCCGTGGAATAAACCGGCAAAAATGAAGATCACACCAGAGACAGAGCTCAGACGTTCACACACACACACACACACACACAGAGGCAGATCTCTCCTCCAGATCTCTGTTATCTAACGCTCCATCTGTAGAGAATCCTCTCTCGGCGCAGGATCTGGCTTCGGTTAGGGTTTGCCATATTTCTCTGGCAAAGGCCCAATATTGACCCACTCACTTCCTGAAGCATTGTAAAATAATCACGATCACAAAGCAACAGATGCTGCGGCATTTGAAGCCCATCCCAGGAGCATGAAGCTCATTTCTCCGTCATTATAATAGAGTGACGAGATGTCTATGAGTCGAGTAACGTCCTCTGGGGCGGACGCTGTCCTGGTCAATGAGATATCAACACACGATAAACTGGTTGAGATCTGTGATCAGCAGAGGTGAACAGCACGATCGCCAGTGTGATTTACCGGCTCGTAAGCTTTACGTGTCTTTTATATTTTTTCTTCACAAAATAAAACGGTCCTGAAAGCAGGACTGGATCCTCAGCAGCGAGCAGTTCTGGCCAAGCACAGGCAGGAGGTCATACTGAATATCCACACTGATGCTTCCCAAACCAGAACCAAGAGCTGTACACTTATGAACGCTGCTGATGAGAAAATAAACACTTCTGACCATGACTAAACGTGTGTTCTGAATGTAATGGGTCAGCACGCATGCACACTGCTCGTCCTGAGTGCATATCTCTACAAAATCACAATAAAAAACCCTGAACCATCAATAGACAGAAGCATTTATTCAACATGTCTATCTTTCACAGCTGGGACATCAGAATTAGGCTGGCATACTGTAAAGAACTTAATGTGTTTTATGTTTGTTGTATTTAGAGCACACAACAGTGTAGTTTCACCGCCGAAGACGTTTCCTGCACTGTAACTGAATAAAAGCTGAACTGAATTTGAATGGAAGTAGCAGGAAGGACGTGTGACGACTGTCCTTCATCAGCAGAGCCTGAAAGCACATGAAGTAAACTGGTCATGGACTTTTGAAGAGCAGCCAAGTTGAGGCTCTTAACACTGTTTCGTGCTGAGCACAAGCACTTCCTGTAAACGAGCACTTCCTGTGCAGATGAGCACTTCCTGTGAATGAGCACTTCCTGTGCAGATAAGTACGTTCTGTGCAGATGAGCATTTCTTGTGCACGACCACTTCCTGTGCAGATGAGCACTTCCTGTGCATGAGCACTTCCTGTGCAGATGAGCATGTCCTGTGCATGAGCACTTCCTGTGTAGATGAGCACTTCCTGTGTGCAACCACTTCCTGTGTGCAACCACTTCCTGTGCGCAACCACTTCCTGTGCGCAACCACTCCCTGTGCAGATGAGCACTTCCTGTGCAGATGAGCACTTCCTGTGAGTAATCACTTCCTGTCCAGATGAGCACTTCCTGAACACTTCCTGTGCAGATGAGCACTTCCTGTGCAGCTCAATATGAGGCTAATGAAGGTCATGGCAGCCGTTACTGACGGGCCTCAGCAATGCAGGATCAGATCAAGATCGCAACCCTAACACACAATCCCTCAAAACTCACACATTTCAGATCAGATCCAAACGATAAAACACAGTTCAGCTTCTGGAGGACCTCGTTCCTGCACACTCGATCCGACACAGACCTGAGCCCGTGTGTACGGTGTGTGAGCTGTGGGAACGCCGGCCTCCAGGAGCCGGAAGCGACGAGCTCATCTTACCTGTGACGGACAGATCCGTGGTCCTCCGCACCACAAAACTCCCAAACTGTAATTCACAGGTGTAATTCCCAATGTCGTCTTCCCGCACGTCTTTGATGGAGAGCACGTCGGCCTTCCTGACGACGCTCGGCCTCCACTGCTTCGCCCGGCACTCCTGCGTCCGGAAAACAGAGAGCCGTGTTTAATGCAGCTGCGATCTCGTTTCGGTGGAATGACACATTAATGAATTGCCTTCAAGTGGGCGGCTTTCAGTGATGTCTACAGACTGCGGCGTTACTGATCTCACACTTGACAATGTTGTGACAACAGCTAGAGTTTCATCTATAATTGTTGCCTTGGCGACGCCTGCCAAATGCCTGTCAATCATTTATTTATCGCCTATTATTTTCCATGTAGAGCAGATGAGTTCATTATTAAAGCAGTGAACCATGAGAAATGATAATGCAGTTAAGCAGAGCTAATCTCAGCAAAGATTACGTTTCTTATTGTCAATGAGAACAGACACAAATCATTGGTTTGAATGAAAGCATACCACTTTTCTTTGATTAGAAAAAAAAGACCACTATAAGATTTTAAAAATGTTCTTAGAAGAAGAAGGAAATGATTCAAGAACTGCAAACGAGACCTCTTATAGCCACGGTTTGAAGACTGATAGTGATTCAGATCAAATGAGTCATTTGTTGGAGAATCAGACAGTTTTATCAGTGGGTTCATCGCTCGCTCTCTGTGCCGGATGCTGTGATGCTAACTAAATGCAGTCATGTTTCCAGCACGAATGTCCACAGCGATCATCTGTCTTTGATTCAATTTAGCCGGAAACTAAAGTGCAGCAGACGTTTAATTTGACACGCGTCTGCTTCAGATGAATTAGTGCTAGCGTAGTCTCACGGCTGGCAGAAACTGACCAGCTCCACAGTTTCTCTGGCTCATCAGAGGTCTTTTTTCTGCATTATAGCTTCAATTTATACCTCTGAACGAAAGCGGTAAAAGCGTGTTTTTGGTAAGATGGAGATGAAGATGATGGGATGGAAACAAAATGAAGAGTATTGTAGAAAAAATAAACAAGGTGACCGTACCTTGTACCAGGTGATCTCTGGCTCTTTCCCGGACTGTGTGTAGTCATCTATATCAGGACAGAGGATGTCTTTGCTCTTGCTCAACTCGGCCTTCTCAAAGTACCTCATCTTGGAGTTGTAACAGAGTCCCGAGTTGTTCTCGGCCACCATGAGCGACATCGACACCTTCATACAGTACGAGGAGTTCCTGCAAAACACACAAAACCAACACGATCAACAAGCTTCACACTATACACACACACACACACACACACTCACAGACGAAGGCAAAAGGAAATCAAATGTCGGCACTTTCATGTCGATCAGCAGGAGATCTCACAGAAATCCCCTCAATCGTTGAAACGAGTCTTTATGGGACTAATGCAGTAAACGCTCAGTCACAAGGGTCGGCCGTGTTTTCCCATCATTCTCAGCAATTGTTTGTTTGCTTGTCTTCGGTACCAGACATCTCAGATCAGCAGAAATGAGAGCAGGGAACCAGCAGGCCATTGCTCAGGTTTGTTGAAGGATGCTCTCAGCGGACGCCTCTTACTGCCACAATTGAATTTATTGGAAAACAACTCCCTGAACAGAAGAAACAACACAATGCGGAGCGGAGAGAAGTGCTGACTCGAAGACTGAACGGAGACGTCGAGGACCCAGAGAATGAAAACTGAAGCTTCACATCCCTCCACAACATGTTATCCACTCTTCCGGCTTCAAAACAGGGTCTTATAATTAGTCTGCGGTTTGATTCTCTGGTGAAATAATACAACACTGTTCCTGTAGCACTAAACACAGCTCTCCTTTATATACAGGACAGCAGAAGACAGACGGGCGAAATCAGAGTCTACAAATGATGAATGAACCGTGAATGTGGCCCATCAGCGTGACTTCAAGCGATTTAAATTAAGCTATATTTAAATCAACGTAATGAGAATGAAAAAAACTAGTACAATCAAGATGTGGATGGAGACTGGATGAAGACCAGGGCCTGTTTCCTCCTGGCCATTTCATGTATCTGATTTGTTAAAACAGTTTCATTCACACTTGCCCACATAAACGTGTAACAAAATGAATATACATCTGATCTTCAATTACCGCGTTCATGTCAGCGAAAGGATTTTATTTATCATCAACTAATTTCAAGATAAAAGACCACGATAGGACAGAGCGGCATCAGCAGTGGTAAGATCATTTAGTCTCGCTTTTTTAATGAAGACGATTTGTGGCAGTTTGAGCGTTGGCTTGCGGAGAAACACAGATTCATCTGCGGCGATGTGTGTTTTAAGCGATGCGTGCTAAAACCTACATATGTGGTTTCGACAACCAGATGTTTGAGTGATCGGATTTAAATCCGTCTTTCTCTAGAGCTATCCGATCAGAGAGACGCATGAAGTGACCGTGTGTAGTGTAGGCTCATGCTGTCAGCTTGAGCAGGGCATTTTTATGAGGCGGAGATGCAAATTCAACATGACGTGAGATTATCAGACATATGGACACACCTGTGCAAATGAGCCCTCGAGTCTAGTGCTGGCTCTGATACGGAAACAAACGATTATGTCTGAGAACGGATGACTGATGGATGGACGACACAGTGTCTTTATCCTCAACACTTCTCTCTAAACATCTGTGCGTGTGTGTCTAACCAGCGAACCCAAGTGACCTAAGGAAAATGCGTTCAATGCTTGAATGATGACACTTGTGTTAGGAAACTTAGTCCTGAGTAGATCCTCAGAAATTTAATTTGATTTGATCTGGCTATGGGACTGAGGCCACACTTTTTCACTTGTTGAGGCTGATAAAGGGAAGCTGGTTATTTTCATCTGAATCATCAGTGTTCGGCTCCAACAGTGGACTATAAAGAGTAACACACAAACTCCCAACTACATTGATGGGTTGGATGTGGAGCGTGAGACTAGATTCAAAATCCTGGGTGTCCCTATCTCTGAGGATGGGTGATCAACCCTCAACACTTCCATTCTGATCAACAGCAGCTTTACTTCATTACGAGGCCCACATCTGAACTTTTTACTCAAACGCTGAACTATAAACCCAGACGCTGAACTAAAAGCACAAAAGCTGAACTATAAACCTAAACACTGAACTATAAACCCAAAAGCTGAACTCAAGTCAAGTCACATTTATTTATATAGCGCTTTTTACAATACAGATTGTATCAAAGCAGCTTCACAGTGATAACATGAAAATAATACAACACCGATCAATAATATTGTTGAACATTAAATGTCCCCAACTAATCAGGCCAAAGGCGAGGCAACAGTGGAGGAACCCAAACTCCATCAGGGACAGAAGGAAGAAGAAAACCTTGGGAGAACCCAGACTCAGGCTCAGTTCTCCTCCGGCCAACGAAGGAACCGTGTGTGATTCGGGCAGCATTACAAGACAAATTGGATCAAAACATTAAGACTATTCGTCCATTTCATCTGTTTGGAAGTGGAAGTAATCACGCCGGTATGGAGACGAGATGTTGAGGACCAGTGCCGATGGCTGTCGTGTCGATGAGGTCGGCTCTTAAGGATGAGTCGGGATGGGTCCAGGCGCAGGTCCACCATAGAGGGTCCCTCGGGATAAACAGAGAGACTGATATTAGCGTAGACGCCATCCTTCTTATGATGTAACGAGTACATCAGGATTTACGAGATGTGTTCCCGGTTCCGGCTGATCTAAACTATGCAGCCTAATGTTGAATTAAGGAAGTGTATGGTGTGTTGTGTGTGTGTGCTAGGCCAAAGAGATGTGTTTTTAGTCTAGATTTGAACTGACAGAGTGTGTCTGCTTCCCGGACAATGTTAGGAAGATTGTTCCAGAGTTTTGGTGCTAAATAGGAAAAGAATCGATTTTGATATTCTAGGTATTATCAACTGGCCGGAGTTTCGAGATCGCAGTAGACGTGAAGGACTATAATGCGTTAAGAGCTCGCTCAAGTACTGGAGATAAACCATTTAGTGCTTTATAAGTAATCAGCAATATTAAAAAATTTATACAATGTTTAATAGGCAGCCAAAGCAGGGTTGACAGAACCTGGCTAATATGGTCAATCTTCCTGGTTCTGGTAAGAACTGGAGCGGCTGCGTTTTGGACGAGCTGGAGTTTGTTTATTAAGCGTGCAGGACAACCACCCAGTAGAGCATTACAGTCATCTAGCCTTGATGTCATGAACACATCAACTAACTGTTCCGCATTTGTCAATGAGAGCATGTGGCGTAATTTGGATTAGATAATACTTGTAGATGTTAGATGGAAAAATGTGGTTTTACAGATACTAGACACGTGATTTTCAAATGAGAGTCACACAAACACATCAACACTTGCTTGTTCTGGCTTTCTAATGCTTGTTGCTGACTTTTCAACTTCAATAAAAGTGTAAATATTCAGAATGACTGTTTAAACTAATACACTGTATAAATTCGACTGCCTCAATACACACACAGGCACACACACTAAAACACACACACACACACACACACCCTGCGGCGCTACCCATTTTAGGTCCGGGCCCGCCCATTTAGACCAAGGTGAGAGATTTTCATTCTAGCAGTTCATCCAATAAGCAGCCCGAGAAAAGCTTTGAGTGAAATCTTCTCAGCCAATCAGCAGCTTCTACCCCACTTGTGGACTCTTAAGCCTGTTCAAAGGCTGCATCTACACCAGCAAGTGATCTAATGAAATGAATGACGTTGGCACGCAAGCTCAATGAGACACAGACGGTAGCTATTAGCTAATATGAAACGCAAAGCAAAGCAGCTTGTTTGTGATGCAGAAAAGCGCTGAAACAGATATGCATTTTCTTAATGACACACACACACACTCACAAAACAAATCCACTATATCAGCACATTGTTAAATGCAGGTCTTGAGGTAAATGGTGACTGTAGCACATATGATTTCAACTGAAAATGAAACTAAACTAAATATTATCTATTAAAATTGATATCCTAGCGGAGAGAAAGAGATTCTTAGCAAATCACCACTTAACTGTCTGTTTCTGACTGACATATATATATACAGAGAGAGAGAGAGAGAGAGAGAGAGAGAGAGAGAGAGAGAGCAGGTCTGCTGAAGGGGAATGAGGTAATGTGCTTGTGTTGTGAATGACAGGATCAGATGAATACGTTTCTCCTGAAGTATAGTTTAAGCTCCACTGAATTTCTTCTTCATCATTCGCTACAGTGTTTCGCTTCGGATCAAAGGGTGTTTCAGTTCAGAGAGAGACTCCAACATCTTCTTTCCTAATGAGGGAACTAATGAGCCATTGACAGGGAACAGCCTTTCCCTGTGAGGTTAATGACGTATTACAGCACGTGATGAACGGCCTTTCTCTGTTTCCGGTGGATTGAACTCAATGAACACACACATGCTGTTCTCAAACAATATCCACACTGAAGAACCAACGCTCGAGTCCATCATTGAGTTTAGAGACGTGACCAGAATCAGAAACCTCATTATTGAACCTACAATAAAAGAAGAGCATCAGACAAAGTGGAATGAAAGTATCTTCATCATCATCATCATCATGTTCTTTTCTCGCAGCTGTTATTTGTCTAGATGAGTGTCTGCATTAAGACACCAGACATTCTCCCTCAGGGCGGATGGATGAGGTCTTGTTGATTGAGTTTGTGCTGGTCCAGATTACTGTAAATGACCATCAGCCCAAATTCTACCAAACCAACATATTATACAACAACAGATTTCAATGAGAGCGAGACCACAACTCTCTACACCACAAAATGCAGTGTGTTTTAGCTTACAGTAAAAGTTCTCAATCCTGCCTCTTTAGATTCACCTTTAATCCATCATATTTCAAATCTGAATTAGCCGTGTATTCCTGATATGAGTGGATACGAGTGGTCATGAACTCTCGTTCTCGAGTTCAGCTCCAACCTTTATCAAACTCTTCGCCTGTAACTCTCTAGTTATCCTGAAGACTTGATTAGCCCGTTTGATCAGGGTTAGATTTGAACTACATCGGCTTGTTGTCTGAAATCAAAGCGACCTGCTTCATTCACGGTATTGTTGTCTCTTCTAATCAATGGATATGATTGATGACATCAGTAATGTTCCCTTTTGAGGGAACTCGAACACGGAAGCTGCAAAGGGACAGCGGCACACAACAGCGTTAGCTTTTTGCTCATCAGCAAGTGCTCTGGTGTTGTTTATCCTGTAAGAACTTCAAAAAAAGGTCTGCATTGCAATACAGAATCTAATGTCTTGGATACCGCGAACGAGGAAGAAGTGTGTAGATTACGAGTCTACTCTGCAATGAAGAGGCATTCACAGTCATTATGAGGAATTAAAATGATGAGCAGTGAACGCACACTGCTCTGTCTGCCCCACAGGCTCACGGCCTGGCAGTACTCCGTCCGCCAATTGAAGAACGAAAACGAGACGAAAATAGCAGGTTCTGGTCGCTCCTCTGAGAATCGCTCCTCTGCCCGGATCCAAGAAGAGAGTGATGTGGCTGGACGGGCCATCCCTCATACGTTTAGTCTGGACATTCCTTCTATGCCAGTGCTCTTGCCCCACGTGTGCCTGTGCGCATCTTCACGCTGGGACAGGCAGGGCTGGTTGTGGCATAGTGGGTGCTCGTTCCCCAAATTTACTGCATTGCTGCAGTTCGAGTTCCCTCAAAAGGGAATCGCCGAAGCTAACTTTCTTGTGTGCCGGCGACCCTTTGCAGCTTCCGTGTACGCCGCCACGTTACATCATGACGCATCACCAATCAGCATTGGATTAGTTTCATTCATACTTCAGATGCGTTACACTAAAGGCGTTCCTCAAAGTGTCCTCATCTGAGATGTTTTCTGGTCAGATGAGGAGGCAGTGAGAAGATCTGAGCTTACACACACACACACACACACACACCTCAGCATGCAGCAGTAAATGGTAAATGGACTGTGTTTATACAGCGCTTGCACAGTCTGAATGGAAACCAAAGTGCTTTACATATTGCCTCACATTCACCCATTCACACACCGACAGTGGTGTCAGCCATGCAGGGGCCATCCAGGTCATCGGGAGCAGCTGGGGTTAGGTGTCTCACACACACACACACACACACACACAGCTGGGGTTAGGCGTCTTGCTCATTGACATCTCATGGACACCGGGGACTGAACCACCAACCTTCCGGTTTGTAGACAACCTACATCAACCACTGAGCCACTGATGAGTAATGTTCTGTAGTAGTGTCCTGTAGCTCGTTGGTCCTGAACCAGATGGATTTCTCACACACACACACACACGTACCTCAGCACACAGGAGTAATGTCCCCCGTCCTGTAGTTCAGTGGGCCTGAACCAGATGGAGTCCTCCTCTTTGCTCATGCGAACCCCGTCGAAGGAGATGGGCTCCTCGAAGTCCCCGTGGCCCGTGCTCTTGTACCACATCAGACTGAGTCCAGCGCTCTGGGCGTGTGTGTAGTTCGCACGGATGTATCCATAAAATAAAGCACACTTAATCCTCACAGGTTCCCCAAGCAGAACTTTGTATTTCAGGTAGTCCACAGACCAATCCGTACAGCCGTCCACTGCGGAGAGAGAGATCAGAGATCAGACACACTCTCTCACACTCACACACACACACACACTGCGGAGAGAGAGAACAGAACACAACATTAGCAGAACTGGACCGTCACTGGACATGAGATGAGACTGCTCTGTCTATGTGTTGGGGATGTACACAGAACTTCAGGCTCATCAGTCAGTCAGAATCACAGTAAAGCAGTGCAGCATGAGCCTCTCAGGGGTTCAGGAACACGGGACTGTAGGAAACCAGAGAAGCATCAGAGGATCGGGATGCAGAAACTCATCCGCAGAACATGAGCAGCTTCTTCATCACTGAAAAACAGTCCAACTGACACTTCAGCTCAAAACACACACACATTTCTACAGACAAACTGATGTAAGAGCTTGAAGAAATCTGCAGGTCTGCTATTAAACGCGCTGGAACTACACACACACACTTACAACACCATTTCAAAACACACTGAGTCAGCAAACAGTGTTCTGTGGAAACTGAAGGCCTGGATGCCCAGAGGCCGTCACATGTAGATGAATTATGAACTCTAGACTGTCCACAACATCTCACACATTAGTAGTTTTCGTTTAGAAGCAGATTGTGTGTTATTTCTAATGTTATCAGGACTAGTGTAAATGTCCAGCATCTCTCCTCTCTTCTCCTGTGTGTGAAACAGCTGCTGAGAACAGATGCTGAGAGGAGACATGCCCGGATAATTGTGTCTCCCTCAATGTTTGATTTACTAAAGAAACAGCACAGCAGCTAATTAACACTGATAGAAGCGTGTCGCATTATTTATCCCTCGCTTTCTCTCACTCTCTCTCTCTCTCTCTCTGCCAAATCCCAGAAATAAAAGAGGAAGACTGGTTTCCACTCAGGGGAAGTCAGAGCTGTGTGAAGGACAATGGACACATCTCAGTGTATAGGCGTGATTGGAGAATCAGGGAAACGCAGGAATGGGAGAGTCAGGGAAATGCAGGAATGGGAGAGTCAGGGAAATGCAGGAATGGGAGAATCAGGGAAACGGAGGAATGGGAGAGTCAGGGAAATGCAGGAATGGGAGAATCAGGGAAACGGAGGAATGGGAGAATCAGGGAAACGCAGGAATGGGAGAATCAGGGAAACGCAGGAATGGGAGAATCAGGGAAACGCAGGAATGGGAGAGTCAGGGAAACGCAGGAATGGGAGAATCAGGGAAACGCAGGAATGTGAGAATCAGGGAAACGCAGGAATGGGAGAATCAGGGAAACGCAGGAATGGGAGAATCAGGGAAACGCAGGAATGGGAGAATCAGGGAAACGGAGGAATGGGAGAATCAGGGAAACGCAGGAATGTGAGAATCAGGGAAACGCAGGAATGTGAGAATCAGGGAAACGCAGGAATGTGAGAATCAGGGAAACGCAGGAATGGGAGAATCAGGGAAACGCAGGAATGGGAGAATCAGGGAAACGGAGGAATGGGAGAATCAGGGAAACGCAGGAATGGGAGAATCAGGGAAACGCAGGAATGGGAGAATCAGGGAAACGCAGGAATGTGAGAATCAGGGAAACGCAGGAATGGGAGAATCAGGGAAACGCAGGAATGGGAGAATCAGGGAAACGCAGGAATGGGAGAATCAGGGAAACGGAGGAATGGGAGAATCAGGGAAATGCAGGAATGGGAGAATCAGGGAAACGGAGGAATGGGAGAGTCAGGGAAACGCAGGAATGGGAGAATCAGGGAAACGGAGGAATGGGAGAATCAGGGAAACGCAGGAATGGGAGAGTCAGGGAAACGCAGGAATGGGAGAGTCAGGGAAACGCAGGAATGGGAGAATCAGGGAAACGCAGGAATGGGAGAATCAGGGAAACGCAGGAATGGGAGAATCAGGGAAACGCAGGAATGGGAGAATCAGGGAAACGGAGGAATGGGAGAGTCAGGGAAACGCAGGAATGGGAGAATCAGGGAAACGGAGGAATGGGAGAATCAGGGAAACGCAGGAATGGGAGAATCAGGGAAACGGAGGAATGGGAGAGTCAGGGAAACGCAGGAATGGGAGAATCAGGGAAACGCAGGAATGGGAGAATCAGGGAAACGCAGGAATGGGAGAATCAGGGAAACGGAGGAATGGGAGAATCAGGGAAACGCAGGAATGGGAGAATCAGGGAAACGCAGGAATGGGAGAATCAGGGAAACGCAGGAATGGGAGAATCAGGGAAACGGAGGAATGGGAGAATCAGGGAAACGCAGGAATGGGAGAATCAGGGAAACGCAGGAATGTGAGAATCAGGGAAACGCAGGAATGGGAGAATCAGGGAAACGCAGGAATGGGAGAATCAGGGAAACGGAGGAATGGGAGAATCAGGGAAATGCAGGAATGGGAGAATCAGGGAAACGGAGGAATGGGAGAGTCAGGGAAACGCAGGAATGGGAGAATCAGGGAAACGGAGGAATGGGAGAATCAGGGAAACGCAGGAATGGGAGAGTCAGGGAAACGCAGGAATGGGAGAGTCAGGGAAACGCAGGAATGGGAGAGTCAGGGAAACGCAGGAATGGGAGAATCAGGGAAACGGAGGAATGGGAGAGTCAGGGAAACGGAGGAATGGGAGAATCAGGGAAACGCAGGAATGGGAGAATCAGGGAAACGGAGGAATGGGAGAATCAGGGAAACGCAGGAATGGGAGAGTCAGGGAAACGCAGGAATGGGAGAATCAGGGAAACGGAGGAATGGGAGAGTCAGGGAAACGCAGGAATGGGAGAATCAGGGAAACGCAGGAATGGGAGAATCAGGGAAACGCAGGAATGGGAGAATCAGGGAAACGGAGGAATGGGAGAATCAGGGAAACGCAGGAATGGGAGAATCAGGGAAACGCAGGAATGGGAGAATCAGGGAAACGCAGGATTGGGAGAATCAGGGAAACGCAGGAATGGGAGAATCAGGGAAACGCAGGAATGGGAGAATCAGGGAAACGGAGGAATGGGAGAATCAGGGAAATGCAGGAATGGGAGAATCAGGGAAATGCAGGAATGGGAGAATCAGGGAAACGGAGGAATGGGAGAATCAGGGAAATGCAGGAATGGGAGAATCAGGGAAACGCAGGAATGGGAGAATCAGGGAAACGCAGGAATGGGAGAATCAGGGAAACGCAGGAATGGGAGAATCAGGGAAACGCAGGAATGGGAGAATCAGGAAAACGCAGGAATGGGAGAATCAGAGAAATGCAGGAATGGGAGAGTCAGGGAAACGGAGGAATGGGAGAATCAGGGAAATGCAGGAATGGGAGAATCAGGGAAACGCAGGAATGGGAGAATCAGGGAAACGCAGGAATGGGAGAATCAGGAAAACGCAGGAATGGGAGAATCAGAGAAATGCAGGAATGGGAGAGTCAGGGAAACGGAGGAATGGGAGAATCAGGGAAATGCAGGAATGGGAGAATCAGGGAAATGCAGGAATGGGAGAATCAGGGAAATGCAGGAATGGGAGAATCAGGGAAATGCAGGAATGGGAGAATCAGGGAAACGCAGGAATGGGAGAATCAGGGAAACGCAGGAATGGGAGAATCAGGGAAATGCAGGAATGGGAGAATCAGGGAAACGCAGGAATGGGAGAATCAGGGAAACGCAGGAATGGGAGAATCAGGGAAATGCAGGAATCCCTGGTGGTTTTGGCAAAAATCTTTGGAAGTTACGGAGATGCCGCTGATGTCAGGTGACATTTATAAACACTGACAGCAAAAAACCCTCTTATTAAAGTGTAATGTGTCTCTGTTGCTATGGCGATGATGAGGGCTGGTTGCTGTGGCAGCCTGTGGGGGGGGGGGCTAATTAAGGTTCACTGCTGCAGTAAAAAAAAAAACTCCATGATGATTTTGCAGTAAAAAAGATGGTTAAAACATGATCATCTGAGTTAATTATCCTACTGTATGGTGTGTGTGTCACATGACTGTGTTTCTCATCTAAACATCATTTTGAAGGATCTAATGAAGCATCAGCACTGGACTCAGGACCTGAGGCTGGATTCAAGAATTTTTCTCAATGCAGTTCTTAACATAAATTCTGACACTGCTTTTACACCAGATGTGACGAAGGCGAACAGAAGCCATAATAATCAGTTCTGCTGCGGTCGACAGTATTTCAGACGTTCTTGGATTTTATTTATTCTATTTATTTATTTATTTGATATGGCCATAACAACAGCATTGGACGAACCAGATACCTTGTTTTCAGCTAACCCATGTCACCAATCACAACACAAAAAATACAGCAGTTACAAAGATTAGCAATACAAATCATCACTATACATTTTATACAGCAGTCAAATGTGTGCAGCTTTGACGTGACTTGAGCCATTGTTTTAGACCTCAATCGAAGCTGATCACGGCTGCTTTGTCACCACTGTCGACACGGTGTGAGAAATTCATAAGTGCATTTCTTAAAAAAAAGTTCTCAAATATTTACTTAAAGGGATACTCCACCCAAAAAATGAAAATTCAGTCATTATTTACTCGGCCTCAAGTCGTCGCAAACCTGTATGAGTTTCTTTCTTCTGCTGAACACAAGGAAGACATTTTGAAGAACGATTGGAACTTTCCCACCATTGACTTCCATAGGATTTCGCTTTTCTACTATAGAAGTCAATGGTGCCAAACAACTGTTTGGTTGCAATCGTTCTTCAAAATATCTTCCTTTGTGTTCAGCAGAAGACAGAAACTCACACAGGTTTGCAACAATCTGAGGTATGATGACATTATTTTCATTTTTGGGTGGAGTATCCATCTTTTCTTCTAGGAATAAATAGTGCACTACAACAAATTCAATCCTTACAAATTTAATGATAGATTTATCTATTCAGGACAGCAGGTGCCTCACAATCATGTTCTTTTGCTACAGGACAGGAGAAGTGTTCGTTTAATGAATGTACTTGCTGAAAGCTATGTGGACCATTTGACCTGAAGCCCTTCGGTGCCTGAAACACAGCAGCAGTCATCCTCACTTTACGCTGTTATTTATGATGATTTTTAAACTCTTTCC